TTCGTACATTTTAGGACGCACAAATGCGACACATATAAATAAATAATAATGCAAACGTTAAATGCATGACGTGAATTATAAGCTAGGTACATAATCAGAACCGAAAACTCCGCCCCAGCTTGATTTTAAACCTAAGGCAGTAAGGATTTTTGGGCCACGCATTCTACACAAGTACATATGCTTATAAGTATCCAACCAAACTTAAGGGGAAATATAACCTCAAATGGCTTAGCAAGATCTTCCGTTATGCCGAAAATATTGCAGCATTAATTTTGAAATAAATATATGGTAAAGTTGAGGATTAATGTTAAGGACTACGTTAGACGAAAACACGATTCCGTAAAATTTTCTCGATAGAAAAAAAATCCAAAGTTACCTCCAAAATAAACAATAAACCGCTGTTATTCATAAAATCATGAAACTTTGCATACTAACTGAACTAACTATAAAGCAGTGCTTATGTTATTTACCTTTTTTTTTCAAATACCATTATTTCACTGTAAAAAAGAAATTACCTAAACTATCGGCTTCTTGAAGCTTGATTCTTGCCGCCCGGTCGGTTTCGCTTCGGCCTTTGAAGGGGGAGGTTGTGTCGCTTACGATCAGAATACATATTACGCAACAGGAAGAAATAAAATGAAAATGGGAAATAACCGTAATAAAAATAAGAAGCGACTAAGTTAGCGTTAAGAAACAGGCATAAATATGATAAACCTAATGAAATAAGTATCTAACGACCTTTCTACTTACAGTATTAGTGATTACAAACATGTCGGTACATAGCATACGACGCGCGGGCAAGTGGGGACGAAATTAGAACTTGAGCTGACTTACTATATCCTCTTAACGACACACTTTAAGTTATACGTTATTTAAAAAAAAACTATTAAAAACATCAAAAACAATGAATAACTCGAATATATTATAGTGCTGTACAACAACAAATCTCTATAAATTACAGAAGATTGAGCTTTTGTATAATTCGTGATAGAGTCAAGCCTAAGTCATAGCTTTGCTTTGCAAGAAAATATCGGTGTCGGTTTATAAATGGTCCTTGCATGTACCTCTCCACCGCCTGTACTTATTGCCCATATAAAATAACAGCGACATGATGTTTCGCTTCGTATGACCCACTTACTGCAATAAGTGACAGTAATTGGCGTTCCTTATTTTTTCTGTTTCATGTAAATCATTATTTTTAAATACTAATAAGACTTATAAACCCTTATTACCAGGTTAAATAGCTTTCTTTCTTCAATAGAGTACTTTCTTTTTACCGTGAATAAGCTTTACAAAATGGTGATCGAATACGCGAAATAGATTTCCAAGTTCTCCCATGATAAACACACACATACACAAAAGGTAACAATATGTACATTCTTCATAACAGAAACTCGTACTACCTCGCATGCGATCTTATTACATAAACATTACAATAGTAATGAGGCCAATGGGTGCCTCCTGAGGTTTATTATCCAAAGTGGAGCAGTCGGAAAGCTTAAAATTGGTCAGAAGAACATAAACCCAAACTACATAGATCTCTAGCACTCTATCTACTGTACATTTGAAAATCTTATAAACAGTATAAGTGTAACCATTGTAACATATTTGTTTTTAATTATTATTATACACATTTTTTAGCGTTTTCTAAAACAATAAATTTAATTTTAATGACAAATTTAGGACAATGCATGGACAAGGCTTGCTAAGTTTAGAAGGACATTAAAATAAAAACAGGACTTGACAGGACAGAAGATTTAAAGAAAGTTTTTTCAACTGAAACAAAGCAAACTATAGAGATAAAGTACTAAACAAACCTCGTATTCTATTTGTGAATCAATAAATAATATTACAAAAACGTTTTAAAACAACTCCGATAGAATTTTATTTTGTTTTTGTGTGCAGCACTACCTAGCGTCGAGTAGAAGAACTAAAGCAGTACAGTTTATCGTGTGTTTACAATAGAGGGCGGTGCTACATTACAAAGTTGTATTAAACATGAGTTTGTTCAATGTCAAAACAAAAAAATCCTGCATCAACGATAAGTACATTTCACAGGGAACATTTTAGATTTTAGCATTACTTTCCTATGTAGATAATTATGTCATATAGCGACGTATGATATAAATTGAAAAAGTTCTATTGTAAAAGAATGTATATCTTTTTTATATTTTTAAATAACCCTTACGCAAAATGATTTGACGACAATGCGCTAATGCTAACTGCATTGCAAATGCTAAAGTATTTCTGTTAGTAATTTACATGTGGACTATCATTTCCTGTGCACGGCACACATTTCACATGCGATAAAGTTAGCAAACGCGGGCCGTCAACGCGTTGGCATATTTTACTATTCTTTTTTATTTGACACAAATGTAAACATTATTATTTTCGGATATAAAAAATGAAATGGATGAATAAAATGCATTTAATAAAATAAGACGCAAGTACGACGGGAATGACCAAGAGTATTAAAAATAGAGTTCCCTGAGTGCAATGCACGCAACAAATCAAAACATCATTATTAAATTAGTTTTGCTGCGTGGGAACACGGAAATTTCTTCGTGGAACAAAGTTAGTATTTTGATACACTGCAATTTAAATATTTTATAAAAAAATGAAGATAAAACGTATTATTTATCATATCAAGTCGAAGACTTAATGGTAAGCAGTAATTAGCAAATTCATATGAGCTCATTTATGACCTCATGATATGTTAGCGAACTCGCTTGAGCGAATCGTACGCTTTAATTGTGACAATAAGCCTGATAATTAAACTCGACGCCGCTTAGCAGAACGAGATGACAATTGTACAAAAATCATGAATCAACACGAAGAAATAATAACGACAGAGTTATTATAAGAATGTGAACATGGGATCGTTCATGCTGCCACACATACCGGAACGTGACCCGTTTTTAGTTTCTACAACGATGGAGGGTTACTACTTACTAGCAGTGCTAATACCGAGTAGTTACAAATATTATTCGTTAATAAAATAATACAATCTGCTCAATTCAGATTTTTTTATACAAGTAAGGGTAATGAGCGCCCAGTCTACAATGGTAGTCCTTAATTAAGAATCAAAATGAAAATGCATTGTCACCCCTGAGATATGAGCTTAATGCTGCTGTTTTTCGTATGGTGAGTGTAGAGAACCAGATACCCTTTTTACTGGAAACGAGGCATTCCGTCTTAGTCCTCACGTGTAATAACAGTTCTGTGGGTTACAGCACCTACTTACCATCATGTGGTCTGTGCTCATTTGTCACCCTTATCCTATAAAAAACACCTAAAATGCAATACCACGTTACCAGTAAAAAGTCTTCGCTTCTCGTTACTGACATAGAGATTATGTAGCTGTTTTACTGGTATTAGGTACGTAATAATGTGATAATTCCCCGGCAGTCTCTCTATTCGTGCTGCTGCAATTAAATATCTAGAGTGTAGTTCCACCACGTAGTTGCACCACTGGACTGTTTCACCAATCTAAACTGTGTCCGATAGAGAGATGGAGAGAGAGCTTGTACAATACGATAAAGCTTTGAGAGTATTGTAAATAGGACAAAAGACAACCACAAAATAGTGCATAAAAGTAAAAAAAGCCAGAACACCAGAACATCTTGCTTTATTGTGTATCCGGGTACACAATAAAGCAAGATGTTCTGGTGGTTCTCCCTTTTTAAAGTTCCCACTTTTCCGTGAAGTAGTAGATTTAGTCCTTCATATTAAGCGATGAAAAAACCCTAAATTGCTTTTTGTACTTTATTATTATATTAAAATACCTTAGTATTTTAAACCTTTAATTAAAATACCATTTTAAACTTGTGTTTTTTCTGACGATTACTGCTGCAAAATATATTATATTTTCTGTAATAGATTTTTTATTAATTAATTCAATAGTATGACCTTTCAAACAGGACAACTTAACAACAACTAATAGTCGCAAAGCTTTCCTGCAAAATTTATATAGCCACACGTGTGACTAATATAATGCTTAATATGATAAGATAGAAATAATTGGACAAAATATTCAGTTTGACTGGGTTTGCAATAAAGGACTCACGAATCAGTATGCTATTACTGAACGCTGAGATTATAAGTACACAAGCTATCTGGCTTCCGCCCGTAATGGTTGACGAGAACAAAAACTAGTTCCCCGCAAACGAGGTGACATGCCAAAGATCCCACTACGATTGACGCTATCAGCATTAGTGGAACTGAGAGCGGATGCTTAAGATTATATTTGCTGGTTCATTAAATAGTGGAATACGTGTGTTATTGCTGTTTAAGGGTTCAAGCATGTTTATTTAAACAAGAAAGTATTATATAAAATAAAAACATTTTCATCTAGTAAAATGACAGATTGAGATTTCAACATCGCCACATCGCGACAAAACTCACGATACCTTCCATACCGTCCGGATGAGCTCATGTAATGGTACGCGATCTACATAAATTGACGACCGTAATAGAGGTAAGAGCGAAGTACCTACAAAAATGGATACCTAGACAGAAAAAAGTCTTATCAACTAAAAATTAAAGATGTCTTCGTATAGGCCATAGGTGTCTAAACTAAAGGAAAAATAATAAAGCGTTTTCTGAGACGGTCTAGTGAAGTAAGCTTGTCCACAGCTGTAAATAAAAAAAGACTACTCTATTTTATGTAATGAACGTATTGTATGTGTGCCATTTTATAGTATCTAAAATATAATATCTACTTTTAAAGCCGCTATCAGCCATCAAATACTTTTTATTTAAATCAACACACAAAAATTTTAATTAACAGCCTTTTGAAATAATAGTTTTTCATAGACTTACCTAATATTCTTATATTTTACACAAGGAAATTTTCTAAACGCCGCTTTAAATCCAAATTCATAATTACACATTTTAGTTACAAAAAGATTTAATAGGATGGTAGTAAACAAAATATCGAGAGTAGAAACGTGCCAACACTGATAAAAGTTAACAATGGCATTGTCAGTGTGGCCGTGGCACTACAAAGCGGAACGGAAGCACGGCGCGAAGCCGAAAAGGGTTGATATGAAAGGGACAGGAACAGCGGAAGCGGATGTGAGCGGCGGTTGCGCCTGCGCAGGTCGCTTCACGCGACACAGGTGCGCCACGCACCAATGTGACTTATGCCTAGTTTCTATAACAAACGATTAGCATCTATAAAAATATTCCCTTACGACCCGTTTCACGGTGCACAATACATCATGAAAAGTTTAGGCTCTACATTAAATTATCCCCTTTAAATTATGTATATATATATATAAAAAAAAAAAAAAAAAAAAAAAAAAAGAGTAATGTAACAAAATTCGGTTCTTAATAAAAATAATTCATAACGTCTGCATTCCCTGTGTGTGACCTGAAACTTCTGCTACTAAGTCTGATTAAAATTTAGATAAAGGAGCTTTAAAGCTCCATTTCTCACATGGCAGGTGAGGTGATCTAGCACATTAAGCACTCCAATGATTATATATACGACCAGAGATAATTTATAAAAAAAATATATTAAATAAAATAACTGCCCCCGTTCATGTAGTAGTCTTAAGTTTGACTGCTGAACATGGGAATCTGGTTAATCCAGGGGCAAAATTCAGTTATTGCGGTTTTCAATCAAGAAATTCTCAATAACAGCTAACACCTGACTCCGCTAACTGCCTAACCAGCAAACCTAGGTTAACACGGCGCTTTTTGTGTGTAGTCCGAATAATAACTAAAGTAACTATATGGCTTCTGTTAAATTCATCAAAAATAATAAAGCACATATGTTTTATGAACAACAGGTGTATAGGTCAAGTTCAAGTGCGTGCATTTATACTAATTATAAATTTTTCGGACTTCATCCAACAGCACCTGGTAAACCAAAGTTTACCATGTTCTTCGGTCATTACCCGTAGCACACGGTGTTGTTCCAATGGTGGCGGCAAAAATCCTATTTCTTCTTGTGATTTTAGCACGAGGTTACAATGAGTACGCCCAGAAAAATTGCTTTTAGTGGTTATTCATACACCACATATAAAATAACCAAAACAAACTATGGCGCGCAGCGTCAAAGGTGCGAGATATTTGGTAATGAGACCACTAATAAACCTGCCAAGTGATTATGGAAAATCCTTTTTAGAATGGGAGATGTACATGTCCATTTGTAACTAGACTGCCTGAGAATAAGACTGCTGAGTGCTGATTACAGATCTAGAGTCAGAAAGTAGTAAGCAGTACAATAAAATTTAAAACGTGTCGTGTATGATTACTGTTGCGTGGTGCCTTCATATAGAACTTCTAAATCAGCGGACGTGTAACGTATCCAGCGTTATATGACTCACTCGGTATACAGCGAATTATTACGTCTGTGTCAAGATCACATCAAGAAATAGGACGCGATGTAGAGAGCTCTTCTTTAGAATTTTTATAACATTTCTAAATTTCAAACGGGCAAAATTATTTTACATTTATATTTTAAGCATAATTTTTAACATAGTATATAATTTAACTTCAATGAGTAACAACTAGAATGTCGTATGATTAATTTACATCAAAAGATACATCACCTATTTTTACACCTTTAGATATGGATTTTTTTTCTTTAAATTTAAATGGTAACGTACAGCCTCATTCATTACAGCTTATTAAAAATCCACTCCTCACGTGCCTCACCCATAGATAGCCTCATAGGGGGGATTTTGTTATGGTCACCACACAGGGTAGGCGGCTAGGCAGCCGCAGTTTTTTTATTATTTCTGTCGTTATGAGGAGGACGCTTTGCCCATTCCTGTATCAGTTTCCTTCTGTCGCCTATTACGACACCACGGTATGGAAGAAATATTTAATAAAAAAATAATAATTTAAATCGGTAAACTTGTATATATTGACGTTGACGGCAAACATCGCGAAGAAATCTGGATGAATGAATATAAAAATATTTTACAGGTATATGAGTAAACTGCTATTCACCCACTGATGCATAGTGGCAAATTTTCTAAATCCAATACTTTCTGACAACAGAAATCCTATAAGACAAGATTTTTAATGTAGATAATTAATATAGATTTATTATTGCCTTATATGACCTACTAAGTGTTAGTTCAAGAAGATCAAACTGGCGAATTAATGAATACCGATCAACGCTTAGAACAAACAAAAAAAAACAAGATTTATCCGAGCGATTATATAATATGTCTAATACATAAAAATTAATGTTCGTTTTTTCGTATTCCATGCGCTGTCATACCGTTCATCAGATTGCACTCAAACTTTGTCAACTTCTTGCTTGCACTTGCGCGAAGGTTATACGCATAGTACAATTAACTTACAGTAGGTACCGATAAAATTTGAGTCATATATCGGTCAATTTTAATGAATATATTATAATTTCTAATAAAAAAAATATATCCTTTTCAATTTTAAAACGATATTTCTACAAATATTTCCTCTTCGGCAGCAATGCGCCGCACACTAGCTAGTAATTTATTAAATAGTACAAGCAATTCTCATCTCTTATATAACTGCGCTAAATAGGGAACGTAAAAGAAACTGCAACCATAAAATCTTACAAGAATAAGACAATACATCACCTCTTTGTTTAAGTATGGCTTCATTGAGTGGCCAGTAGAAGTAAACCACGTATTATATATGACATTTATTACAATCAATAGATAAAGTTACTAGTTTGTATTACATGTTATACGTGGTAAAGCCACGCTGCCGTTACGTTGTGGTTGTAGCACAAATGGATCGACTCAACCACGCTCTCACAGAATACCGGCGAGAAAAAACGGCTTAATGCTGCTGTGTTTCGTACGGTGTGTGTAGAGAACTGGAGATTGTTATTACTGGAACCGAAGCATTCCATCTTAGTTCTCAAGGCTGATAACGCAATCTACATAATATTGATTCTTAAATCGAGGATAGATGTAGATGTCTATGGGCCACAGTATTCATTTACTTTATCGTTTGGCATCCTGATTCTATAAAAAGCAAACACAATACGTAATATATATATATATATATATATATATATATATATATATATATATATATATATATATATATATATATATAACTGTAATCTATAGGCATACCGCAGTTGTAGCGGCACTGCTGACAGTTAGTCCAGCCCACGTCTGTCCGTGGCATAAATACCCGCGATAACGTTTTCCTTAAATTCTTCAACTTAGGTTATTATAATGTTTAGATGCATCTATTACAAAAGACAATTCTGTCACATTCAAAAGACATAGACCATCGATAATTGTAACAAAACTCTTGTATTAATTAATTAATAAAATTTGCACACCGTGTGCAGTTTGGTCCAACTTGAGAGATAGGATAGTTTTTTTGCCCATGGGTGACCCACAACTTTTTGAGAATTAAAGGATTTTTAATAGGACATGACAAAGGGTCGTCGAAAAGGGTAGAACAACGTCTGCTTTTCAAGCTAGTATAATATAAATTGTTAATCAGTCATAAAATTATGTTATCAAGAGAGCTGTTAAAACATTTGTCTTAGAATAATTTAATATGAATATATACGAACCGTCAATATCATCCTGTGTGGTTTCGAAGTCAGCTAATGTAACGTTGGACAGGTCCTCAACGTACACCTGAGGCTGCCTGTTCAGCGTATGCCGGCCTCCCAGCGAATGATAGCAGCTCTCCTCCTCATCGACCGCCTCTTCCGTCGACGAGCCTTTGAGGCACGAGTGGAAACTCCGTGAGAGACGTCGCTCCGTGCTCATTCTCACACATTCCCGGAACAAAACACTGGTTCGAGCACCGTACACAGTTTAAGCCACGTTATTTTTTTATTTTTTATGCACTTTTTCTTAACGCACACCACATCCGAACGTAACACGATGCGAGCGTTCGAGGTTACAGCGTCGAGTCACGTCGGCGTTTATTGGGCTCACACAAATTGTCATAGTAAAGTCGTCTTGTTATTGTACATCTCGGCTCAGGTTATAGATACGTGTATTTGTTTTAATTTAGTTTTAATTGAAATATTCTGTAAAATACCTACACGTAAAAACACTAATTGTTAATGAACAATGACTTAATTTATCGATGTATATACATATTATCTTATCGAAGTTCTTTTGTATTCAGTGATACAAGGACTTTGATAAATAGCGCTGTTATATTAAAAAAATACTACCTTGAAGAAACAAAGAGGTAAAACGATCTCTCTTTAACTGAAATTGCAGTAATGAGGGTAAATTGAGAAAACACCGAAGATGTCGTGTACTGTGGCATGTTATTTGGTAACGATTGTAACATATCAGCAGAAGACGTAAAAACATGACACTACAACCCGTAAAACACGTTGCTCCAGCACCATAAAAATCATAAGGACGGCCTGGAAACAATCGCGTAGGTTCAACGCACTCTTAAAGAGTAAGGAGGAGTGTCTTGACATTTGGCTAATGAATGGCTGCCGAACAAAAGAGAAAAATCTACGTATAAGCTGTGCGCTACCTAGCCTAAGACACACGAGGTTTTATACTTTTTAACTCTGTAACTATGTTACTATGAACAACGTAGTTCGAAGAAGTAATAAATAAAATGGAAATTATATTAAGTATTTATCTAAATAAAAGCCGTGAAATACCTGCAAGTGAGTATTTTAAGGTTTAAGTCTATTATCCGCTGATATTTACAACTTGTCTAGCATAGCATAGAAAACAACAAAAATTTATTTCTTTACGTAAATACTTCCTCAATTTATTAAATGGAAACATTTTCGGCGACAAATCTGTAACATAAACAACCAACAAATAAGGAATATCGGGATTTTACACTTCTTCGTTGTAAGCATACACATATAATATGTACGAGTACGAGTATGCTCTACATTCATATACTATGCATATTAAAATAAGCTTTTCGTTCTTGTGTATATACTCATTATATATAGTCACACATATTAAAGTTTAATAGCATAAAAAATAGGTTTTAAAAATGTTTATTAATGCTTCGCTCACGAAATAAAATGAAAATATTATTATGGACAATCGATGTCCAAAGTTCATGCACTAATTTACGAGGAAGAACTTAGTAACTGATAAACATTACGAGCACGACGGATTTCTAAGGTGCACTTCACTAAGAACCAGAACACCGTTTGCCTCATAATGAGCCTGAAAGCGTGAGTTTAATGCATGAACACGAGTAAATTATTTAATTCTGGTTTGTGTGTGTTTTGTGGAATTGAATTATCTGAATACATTAGACAAACCTATTGCTTAGATGATCATAGTTATTTGATATCAAGAAATCAAAACGTAGCGAGAACTTATTTCGTTATAAGAATTTACAATATTCCATTAGTATTATAGCTTATCAAAGGTCCGCTCCTGAACACAGGCCTCCCCTATAGATTGCCCTGGAAAGCTGGTTAGGAACCGGAGCTTTTTATTTTTATTCAGCTGCTATCAGGAACACGCTGCTGCCTATGTTCTGTTTTAGTTTGTCAATGTCACCTCTTACGAAATCCACAGGACTCTTACACGGGCGGCACTACACGGTCAATACAGTGTTCAATACAAGTTTTTTTTTAAATTCCGCTGTTGAATACATGCATAAGGCTTTTCAAGAACGTGCAAGAAGATATACATATCTTGAAAGAGTTACACGCTGAGCGGACTGATTAGTAAGCGCAGGGTCGATTCTCCGCTTTTGTAACATTGTTCCCTATTACTAGACAGTAGGATTTCAGTTTAACTATTTCTAAATGGATTTTTCGCCATCTGACGGGCGCTAGAACCACGTTCATTAGTCCGCAGTGTAGGTACTCCTCGTGGTAAGGTGTGGGGATTTCGTATATTCCAAATATAACCTAACACCTACCTTAGAATGGTACGAAACCGATTTGTCGCTGTTGTTGAATTTCAAATGTCTTCAAATGTCTAAAATCATATTATGATTCATACGCCTACAGTATTTACAATGTTATTTTACAGCAAATTAAATTTCGTTTTACATATTTCGCTTCGCTAGAAGTTGGCATCAATGCGATCTGCTACAGTGTATATTATTTGCAATTAGGATACGGTTATTAATTTGCCAAACTTGTTAATCTATTTTTTTCGATACTTATGTATAGGCACTTTTATTCATCGGATCTACTCATACGTTTATATCAAATTGTATTCAGTTTTTGATTTTCAAATGGTTTTTTTACGTAATCACATTTAATGATATCGCATATGCGATGGGTTAAAGATGTATAGGTAAGTTCAAAAGAGTGGTTGTCCATTTATTGGAATAATATTCTACACACTTTACTACCTCTGGTTGAATTACCAGATTTCTCAGGGGTCAAAAGCAAAATCAGCCAGGTGAAAATCATTATATGCCGAACATGAAGATACTTATTGCGTGTTAAATTGTACACATATTTTTTCTTTTCATTAATTTGATAATGGAATAACATAAAAATATTGTGTATGAAGTGACTACAAAATATATAGATATGTGAATCTTAAATTAAAACGTTATATTAACATTATTATTGCTTTGATAATATTGTACCTAGTGGATTTAAAATGGTGCGTTATTAGAATCGTAATTTTTTCACAGTAAGTCTTACAAGCCATCAGACAGTGTACCTGATGGTGAGTGGATGCTACGATCAATAGTCATCTCCATCTGCCTTCGATTAAGAATGAATTTGCAGACGCGTTGTCACCCTTGAATACTAAGCTATGGAATGCTTCGTTTCCAGTAAAAAAGAATTCCGGTTCTCTACACTCACTATAAGAAACACAACAGTACATTAAACTGCTATTTTAAGTTGGGAACATGCCCTCACAGTCTGTGATCCTTCTTGAGCTCTTTCTTTTGATGGTCCTTCCCCGGTTGAACCGAACCATTCGTGTAACAACCATTACATAGGTGGCTATATGACATGGTGGCTATACCACGTATAAAACGGTCGATTTATAAGTAAATTTAATATTTCACGAATGATTTTTTATCAAGTTTGTGAGAAAAACGTATGCGACAGACAGACATACCGGCAGATAACGAGATGATCCCGAATTTCAGCATGGAACACTAACTTCCAACATCATTGGTGATGATGGAAAGGCGAGATACTTGCGGGCAAAGTCACAGGAAAAGGTAATATATAGTACATAACTGCTCCGGTACTAATCTTATATTGTCCTTATATAAATAAGTTTTATATAACTGAAGTGGTCACGAAGTAAACAAAATTCCGGATAAAAAGCGATAACGTAACAGACGAGTCACGTAATTTCAAAAACGTAAATTAAGGAAGAGACAATCTCATTCGAAATTAATTATCTCCGCACATAGTTCATGCGTTGGCAAAAAAATATTCCAAACGATCCATTGTTTCGGTGGAAAGTTCATTGTGTGAGTCAAATGACACGGAATTGCGAAAAGAAAATGACGGAGTTATCTAAGAAAGATTTCATTAGGTAATTATCTTAACAAATACTTGTCGTTTTTTATGTCACTATTTTTTGTAAACTAAACGTTTTAGCTACCACAAACATGGATCATTTGCGAAATAAGAATATAAAACTTTCTTATTCTTGTAATCAGACTAAAGTTTCCGTCCTAGATTCAGCAAGAATTGCAACAGGAAGTAACATCCATGCAAACAAAATAATATTTCGTGTTGTGGTTATTCTATTATAGAATACGTAATAGAAACACGTTGCAGCTATATTACGTTTGTAGCACGAATGGGTCAGCTCGACCGGGGAAGGACCACGCTCTCACAGAATACCAGCGTAAAATAGCAGCTCAATGCTATTGTATTTCGTATGATGAGTGTAGAAAAACGGGGATTCTTTTTACTGCAAACGATTTGATTCTTAATCAAGGATAGATGTTCATGAGCCTTAGCATCCACTTACCATCAGGTGGTTTGTGTGCTTGTTTGCCACCCTTATTCTATAAAAAATATACCGCAAAGATTACATTGATTTCGATTACTTGTGACACTTACTGAATATATCTTAGCGTGTGGTTGCGGCGTAAGAGAATCACTTATTTCTTTACTGGATAAAAAGGGTCTAACAAAGATTTCATGCCTTCAGACATAAAATAGACTTTATAAAGATAAAATAAAACTTTTAACAGGCAATTGCAGAAGAAAGTAAAGATATATTGGACATAATGATTTCTTATATTTACGCAAAGACTACAAATGAATAAAACTATATTGACGGATTTTATCGCGTATTTTATCGTCGGACTAACTATGACATCGGGATTTCAAACATCTCAGTGCTTCCCGTGACCACCCGTAACCATGGGTAAAGTACCCGAAACGTCAGGAATTAAAAATAAGTAAAATAAAGTAAACAAATAAAACACGTAAACATAGTTTTATTCAATGTCTTGGACAGCTGACAATTCCCAACAGTATTCGGAGATTGTCGCCATAATTGATGTTGACGAGATTCAGCGAAAACATTATGATTCTTGATAAAAATTGAAGTATCAGCTTACACATCCCACATTTGTACGTATATATGTCCTTTTCATTTCAAAAGTATTTTAAGGCGGTCTTTACATGTGCTCGAAATATTTATAATTCCATATACTACAACCGATCCATCCAAACGATTTTTTTTACCTAACATAATAAATTCGCTCTAAATTTGAAGTTAATGTGAGAATTAAACACATCTCCTAAGCCCTCACACAAGCCATTTATTTTTAGCTAGCGACCGCCCGTGGTTTTGCTCACGTGGAATTGGAG